GCAGTTCGTCACTCCTGCAGTAATTAATGACTCCAAACCCTCTCTGCTGTGTGTGTGATGTGTGTGTACTAATAGTGGGTATGACTGCCTCGTGCGCGTATTACCTCATTCATACGATCAGGCATACTCCTTATTAGTCTTTTAATTTCATCCTACGTAATTGTATTCCATTCGTTTTCGAGAATTATTCGCAGTTCTCGCAGTGACTGAGGAGCAGGTACGTGATTTCGTACTTTCCTGCCGAGGTTGTCCCATAAGTGTTCGATTGGATTTAAATCTGGACTATTTGCTGGCCAATCGAGTCGATTTATGCCAACTTCATCGAAGAAATCAAGCACTCTTCTCGCAGTGTGTGGTTGAGCATTGTCTTGCATAAACAAGAAGTTCTCTCCGATGAAGGGTGCGGAACAACATATGGAATGAGTATGTCTTCCACGTATACATCTGCGTTCTTCTTATTTCTCTTATATTCTCTTATATTCTTGTCAAAAAAGTGCTGATCTGTATGAGCATTAGCTGAAATTCCTGCCCAAATCATTACAGAGCCTCCATTGTAGCTATGCCTCTCACTTACCGTACAGTCTGCAAATCGTTTTCCACCGCGACGATAAACTCGTTCTCGTCCATCTGGAGAATAGACACAAAAACGAGATTCATCGCTAAAGAGTACTTTGCTCCAGTCTGCGTAAGTCCAGTCTCTATGCTCAACTGCAAAATTGAGTCGAGCTACGCGATGGTGACATTTAAGCAAAGGTACAGCTGCTGGCCTGCACGAAAGCAGATTTTGTTCCTTTAATCTTCTCCGAACGGTGTTAATGGATACATTAATGTTGCGGACATCCCTTAAATTGTTTCTAATTTGAACAGATGTTCGATGTTTGTCTCTTAACGAATTTGAAACAATAAATCGGTCATCATTGTGATTGGTACATCGAGGACATCCCGAACCAGGCCTTCTATGGAAAGAATTGGTTTGTAAGTACCTGGCATAAGCACGTTGCACAGTTGACACTGACAAATCAAGTGCCTGAGCAACGTACCTTCGACTTCTGCCATCTTCAATTAAAGCAATAACTTGAGCAGCCTTTTCAGGATTTATCGTCGCCATAATCGACGCAATAATTTCGATGCGAAACAATCAATTATGGTTTAAATTGATGAAGTTGCACGAAGCAACGCGCCTCGAAAGGAAAAGATCACGGAAAAAGAAAAGTCGCACGAGGCAGCGCTTATCGGAGTGAACACGTTCGGAAAAGGAAAATTGTTTGTCTTTGTTTATTGTCTTGGCACATATATTTAAGAAAAATCCAGTCAAGCCAGGCGTTAAAGCCCGGCGCACCGACAGAATCTCAGTCAAGCCAGAACGTAAGCCCGGCGTACTGACAAACTCGCGAAGTCCAGCGTACAAGAGATAGTGTCACTATCGGCGGTGGACCGTACGAAGGCCAAAAGCTGTACGAAGGCAATCTCTGATCGTCTCCGCGGGCACTCTTATATGCCCTGGGCAGCTCGAACTCGCGTGCGAGCCGAGGGGCTCGCGCGCGCGACAACCCAGATCGCCGCGTCGCGGCGGCTCCGTGGACTAGGAGCGCCAGGGAATTTCGACGTTCAGGTGGCGTCCAGCGACTCGGCGCGCCGGGTCACCGCGAACTCAGGCGCGATCCTGAACAGCATATTCAAGCTGTGTACCATAATGGCCAATCGTACGGAGAAGGTAGAAAGCTAGGGACAGCTTCGCGAACTAAAATGTATACCACAGTGATCATGCGTAACTGAAGGGTAAAGAATGATAACTTTTGAAAAAAATTAAATTTCCAATTCGCAAAATTGTGTAAATTATTGTATAGAGAATAATGAACGCGGCTATTGAAATTATGAAAGAGCCAAACGAACCGCAGAGCCTCTTAGCCCCTTAAGCCTCGCTGAATCGACATTTGTTGCAAATTCGAAATTGAATATCTCGACACCTAAATATCCTAGCAGCAAATTTCAAAAACGGTTTGAAAGCTTTGAAACCGTACTTTCGAAAGATTTATCGAAATTGTGCGCAACGATATTTTTTCAAAATGGCGGGTGTTCCGTACAGCATCACGTGCTGTACGGATAGTCGGTGCGAGTCAACGCTGCAGGGCGGGCGGCCTGGTGCCCGGGGCGTTCTCGCTGGCGGCGGGGGACTCGGGTTCTCGCGAGCGAGCGCGCGGGACCCCCACTAGGTCCAACCGCGGCCGCTACACGGCGCGGCTCGCGATTCCGCTGCCCGCGGGCAAGATTCGACCGCCCGGATATATAACCAGGCGCGCGTGCGCAGGGACGGCGGTGAGAACAAGAGAGAAGAAGCACGCGCACGTGCCGATGTAAAGTGACACGCAGTGTAAACGCAATGGACGCAATAGACGCAGTAGTAACGCAGAAGAGAATAACGCAGAAGAACGACGCAGAAGAACCTAAACGTAGCTATATATAAGCGAAACAACGTCGCCTACGCAAGTCCCGCAGGACACACGTCCGTGACGTCAACGGTGCGCGGCACCCGAAGCACGCCAAGGACGTGCAACGAAACGACCTCCGTCGTTTCGGATGGCCTGCCCTTCCGGGCGTAATGGCCAATAGCCAGCCACGGTCCCGAGGACGCGTGGAAACGGAGCTCCGAGAGCTCCGGCTCGCAGGACGACCAAGTCGCTCCTGCGAGAAAGCCAAGTTCCCAATGGACACTTGGACGAAGGAGCGCGACCGCTCTAGGACTGCGACCGAGCCGCTCCAAAACCGCCAAGGCCCCCTACGGACACTTGGGCAATAAGGGAGCTCGAAGCTCCGAGGAGACGGTCGAGTCGCTCCTAAGATCACGGCAACGCCGTGAGCCCGAGATCACAAAACGAGGTTCGAACCATTTGCCTCAACCCAGCAGGGTGTGTCGGCGCCACCTTCAACTCAGCAGAGTCTATAGAGCGATGGTTCGAATCTGAAACGAAATACCCGATCGCCCTAGGAAGCCTAGAAAGCGCGTCGGTAATCACCAGTAACACGATGCACTAACGTGTAGCACTACTTGCTACCTAAACTGGCCAGGCAGAAGACAAGACAAGGCAAGGACCAGGCATCGCGCGCCTGGTTATATATCCGGGCGGTCGAATCTTGCCCGCGGGCAGCGGAATCGCGAGCCGCGCCGTGTAGCGGCCGCGGTTGGACCTAGTGGGGGTCCCGCGCGCTCGCTCGCGAGAACCCGAGTCCCCCGCCGCCAGCGAGAACGCCCCGGGCACCAGGCCGCCCGCCCTGCAGCGTTGACTCGCACCGACTATCCGTACAGCACGTGATGCTGTACGGAACATACCGCCCGCCTCCGTCGCGGCGACGGAAGTCAGTGGTGGAACAAACCCCCACCAGGAAGGCCCCACTCGCGGCCTGGCGGCCGTGAGGGCCTGTTGATCCCCTTCATGTTGAAGGTTGATTGGGATGAGCCCCTTTCGGATCCACAGGGAGCCTCACCAGCCTGACCAGTGGCCGGGTCAGGGTCGAGTCCGCTGTGCGCACCTGCGCCACGCGGACGTGCCCATCCGGGCCAGGCAGCAAGCCGGTGATGCGGCCGAGAGGCCACCGGGTAGGAGGAAATCGGCTATCCGCCAAGAGCACGAGGTCGCCGATGTCTAACGGACGAGAAGCGATGAGCCACTTGCCCCGGACCTGGAGCTGGGCTAGATATTCTCTAGACCATCGCTCCCAAAGATGCTCCGTCATATGCTGGAGCAGCTGCCAGCGACTCATCCTCGCGACCTGAACGTCCCCGAGGGATCGCTCAGGCGGACACAACAGCGGGCGCCCAATCAGGAAGTGCCCAGGTGTCAGGGCCTCCAAGTCCTGTGGGTCGTCCGTCAACGGACACAATGGCCTGGAGTTGAGACAGGCCTCAATGCGAGCTAGAAGAGTGGCGAACTCCTCATAGGTCAGTGCCTGCTCTCCTATTACCCGTCGCAAGTGGTGTTTGACGGACCGCACTCCTGCCTCCCACAGTCCGCCGAAATGCGGAGCTGAAGGAGGCATGAACTTCCAGGTGATGCCCTGGTTACTCAAGGAGGCCGCGACTGGTCCCCCCAACGCCATGACCGCCTCAAACTGCCCTCGCAGCTCGCGGTCCGCACCCACAAATGTGGTCCCCCTATCGCTGTACACGGTAACCGGCAGGCCCCGCCGGGCCGCGAAACGATGAAAAGCCGCTAAGAAGGTCGGGGCCGAATAGTCACTGACCACCTCCAAGTGGACAGCGCGCGTGCTGAAGCAGACGAAGACAGCAATATATCCCTTGGAGGTGGTACGTCCGCGCCCTCGAGACGGACGCACCGCGACCGGTCCAGCATAATCCACCCCGGTGGCAGAAAACGGTGGATGAGGCAACACCCGATCGCGAGGCAGCGGAGCCATGAACGGGGTGATCGGGGTGCCCTTATGACGTGTGCAGCGCACACAGCCCCGGATCACCTGGCGCACGAAAGAGCGCCCAGCTGGAATCCAGAATTCGCGCCTCACGGTGAGCAACGTCAGCTGCACTCCCCCGTGCAGCGTGCGTTCGTGCGCATCTCGCACAACGAGAGTCGCGAGCCGAGAGCGTCGCGGTAGCAGGACTGGCTGCCGTGCATCGATCGGTAACGCTGAGAATTGCAGGCGGCCCCCCACCCGCAAGAGGTCCCGCTCGTCCATCATGGGGTTGAGTGGCCGCAACGCCGATCTCACCATCAATGCTCCCCCCCGCTTCAGACGGCCCAATTCCTCCGCGAAGAAGCGGTGCTGCGTAACCCGCAGCAGGCGCAGTCGAGCTTCACTCAGCTCGTCCGCCGTTAAGGGTCCACTGATCCGTGGGACTCGCAGGAATCGTCGTACATAGGCCATCACGCGGATGGCCTTGCGGAAGGAGCATGCTCGGAGGACACCGGACCAGTCCTCCGGGTTCACGGCCACCACGTGAACCATGCACCGTTCCTCGCAAGTGCTTCGGTCGCTCGCGACGCAAGTTAGACCCGGCCAGCCCGCCGGGTCCTCGACAAGCCAGGAGGGGCCACGCCACCAAAGGGCGTGTTCTCGTAGCCCGCCGGCCAACAAACCCGGGAGGCGCAATCCGCGGGATTGTCGCCAGACGGGATATGCCGCCACGAGGCCCGCGGAAGGCTCTCGTGAATGTACGAGACGCGATTGGCGACAAAGGTGGTCCATCGAGATGGATGCCCTGTTATCCAATGGAGCGTGACAGAAGAGTCGGTCCAACAAACCAGGGAGGCCTCGGCACAACCGAGCGCCTCCACCATGGCCTTCATGAGGCGCGAGAGCAGCTGCGCACCGCACAGCTCCAGGCGGGGCAACGTTACCCGCTTTAGTGGGGCGACCCTGGTCTTGGACGCCAATAGAGCGACACGGGTGGTCCCATCAGACCGTCGAGCCCGTAAGTAGATGACGGCGGCGTACGCCCGCTCCGAGGCGTCCGAGAAGCCGTGAAGCTGGATCTCCACTTCAGGCGACCATCCGGTCCAGCGAGGAACTCGGATCGCGGAAACCTCCGCGAGCCCGGTGCTAAAGGCGTCCCAACGTCGCGAGAGCGGAGAAGGGAGAGCCTCGTCCCAACCGAGCCCGGCCAACCACAAGTCCTGAAGGAGGATCTTCGCCAGTACTACCATAGGCCCCAACCAGCCCAGGGGGTCGTATAATCGCGCAACGACTGACAAGATGCCACGCTTCGAGATGGCTGATTGAGCCCCGGGGTTGACCGAAAAGCAGAATGCATCCTCGACCGGAATCCAACCGACCCCCAGCACAGATGCACCCACGGCCCCAGGGTCCGGCAGAGGCACCAAAGGCTCGCGGTCCCCCTCCGGGATACCGGACAAGAGTTCCGGATGTGAGGCCGCCCACTTCCTGAGTCGGAACCCGCCCGCCATGAGCAAGCTGCTCAGCTCACGCTGTCGACTGCGTGCCTCCCCAAGGTCATCTGCCCCCGCAAGAATATCGTCGACGTAGGTTTGTCGACGAAGTAAGTCTGCTGCCCGGGGATAACGTTCCCGCTCATCCAGCGCCAGCTGGTGCAGCGTGCGGATGGCCAGATAAGGAGCGCACGCCATGCCATAGGTGACCGTGGTCAACCGGTACACCGATATTGTCTGCGTCTGGCTGTCTCGCCAGAGAATCTGTTGGAGGTGTTGATCCTCCGGAGCCACCCGCACTTGACGAAACATTTGCTCGATGTCTGCAGAGAAGGCCACTCGATGCATGCGCCAGGCAAGTAGAATCTCGCCCAGTTCTCGCTGTAAGCGCGGCCCCACGTGCACCAAGTCGTTCAACGACCGGCCATTGGTGGACGCCTGCGAGGCGTTGAACACCACTCTTACTTTAAGCTCGGGGGCTTGTTTAATCACCGGGTGATGTGGAATAAAGTAAGAGAGCCGCGGAGTCTCGACATTGAGCGGCAGGCGGATCATATGCCCCTGTCGTTCATAGTCATCAAGAAAGTCGCGATAGGCCCCGCCCAAGGAAGGCTGCCGAAGCAGTCGCCGCTCCAAGCGATGCAACGAGGCAGTGGCAATCCGCCGAGTGTCGCCGAGAGACAGCTCAGTCGGAGGGCTCCTGAAAGGCAACCGCACCTGATAGCGGCCGTCCGCACGACGCCGAAAGGACGCCGCGAAAAACTCTTCACAAGCCCGCTCCTCTTCAGAGAGCGGGGAAGCAACCGGAATCTCCTCCACCTCCCAGAAGCGCCGCAAGAGATCCGCCATGTTGTCCGACGCACACTGCACCACATGACAATGAGAGCCGCCCGCTCCGGCGGCAGACGGGAGAGCCCCGCACAGCACCCACCCCAAGCGGGTACGCTGCGCGACGGGAGCTCCCCTCGGGCCCCGGCGAAGCCCCGTCAACACGATCTCGGCGAATACCTCCGCTCCAAGTATCGCCTCGATGCGCTCGTCATCATCGTGATCATCCGCCAATCGGAGGTTCCTCAAATGCGACCACTTCCCCGTCAGCCGAGCCCTCTGCGGGGGGTGGTACGCCGTAAGCCTCGGTAGAATGAGGGCCTCCACCGTGGTGGAGAACGGGAGGCCAGCAGTTGCCCTGAGCCGCAATGACGTGCTGGCCCGCACCCGCTGAGGGGGTCCCTCTGAGACGCCCGACAGCCCGACATCCACCGATCTACGAGACGCGCGCAGCCGCTGCGCAAGCGCCTCGGACACCAGGCTCCCCTCAGAGCCCTGGTCAATGAGCGCTCGAACCACAGCGGATCGGCCATCGGACGCCATCAGACAAACCCTGGCTGTGGCCAAAAGCACTCGCTGCGCAGGCATCCGCGTCGCAGCATGCGCCGTGACCGGCGCTTCCCCCGACGCCGGGGCCGGAGACTGCTGGGCGGAGTGCAGAAGTGAATGGTGCGGCTCTCCGCACTCCCGACATCGACCCTTAGACGGGCAAGCGGCCGCCTGGTGCGACGGACCGAGGCAGTTGAAGCACAACCCGAGAGCGCGCACCCTTGCCCGTCGCGAAGAGACCGGCCGATCTTTAAAGGCCGAACACTCTCTGAGTCCATGCTCAGAACCGCACTCAGCGCAACGGGTCGGCTTGGGCCGATGGAGATGCAGCGATCGTCGACCAGTCCGCTCGGATGCCGATGAGGCACGGGGGCTGTCCCCAATGGACGGAGCCGCGGCAACCGCCTCGAGCGCCACCCGACGCTCGTCCAGGAAGACTGCCAGTCTGTCCCAGCTCACTGGCTCGCGCCGGTCCGCGGTGGCCATCTCCCAGGCCCGCCGCGTTGCAGAGTCTAGCTTGGAACGGAGGATATTGACCAATATCACGTCCCAAGCATCCACTGGCTGGTCAAGAAGGCGCAAGGCGGCTCGCAGCTCGCTGGCTCGATCCAGCAGCCTCCGAACCTCGGAGACGCTCTCCTGACGCATCGGGCCAATATCCCGGAAAGCGTCGAGATGCTGGTCCACAAGCAAACGACGGTTATCGTACCGTGCACATAGCGCTTCCCACGCTTGCTCAAACGAGCCAGTAGCGACGCCGTAGTGCCGGAGCAGACGTTCAGGCTCTCCCGATACGCTCTGTTTTAAATAATGCATCCGGTGAACTGATGCTAACGACGGGTTATCGACTATTAAGGACTCGAAGAGATCCTTAAAATTGCGCCATTCGTCAAACTTCCCTTCGAACTTCGGAATGGGAATGCGAGGCAACGAAGCCTCGGGCACTACCGCCTGCGCGGGAACTGCGTGAGCAGCCGACTCAGCCTCCTGAACCTTCAACCCATCGAGCAGGGTTTGGATTTCTGCGCGCTGCGCAATGTAGACTTCCTGTACCGTGCCACAGGCATCCTGTTGCACGTAGTCTGACTCTCGCACGGTCTTGAGGCGAGACGCTCGGATCGTGCGATGATCATCCTGGAACTGAGCCCAGTACGTGTCGAGAACCTGCAAACGAGACGTCAACCCGCCAACTGACTTCAGTTGACCGGACTTGCGTGCATTGTCCAGCAGCCGCTCCATGCGGTGCTGCCGGTCGTATTGCAGCTCGATGAGCCCAAGAATGTCCTCCTCCTTAGACATAACGGAGCCCGAGCTAAACAAACCGACCCAGGTCCGAGACTACCGCTCCCGATCCGGCTCGAAGGCAGCCAGTCCTGCTACCGCGACGCTCTCGGCTCGCGACTCTCGTTGTGCGAGATGCGCACGAACGCACGCTGCACGGGGGAGTGCAGCTGACGTTGCTCACCGTGAGGCGCAAATTCTGGATTCCAGCTGGGCGCTCTTTCGTGCGCCAGGTGATCCGGGGCTGTGTGCGCTGCACACGTCATAAGGGCACCCCGATCACCCCGTTCATGGCTCCGCTGCCTCGCGATCGGGTGTTGCCTCATCCACCGTTTTCTGCCACCGGGGTGGATTATGCTGGACCGGTCGCGGTGCGTCCGTCTCGAGGGCGCGGACGTACCACCTCCAAGGGATATATTGCTGTCTTCGTCTGCTTCAGCACGCGCGCTGTCCACTTGGAGGTGGTCAGTGACTATTCGGCCCCGACCTTCTTAGCGGCTTTTCATCGTTTCGCGGCCCGGCGGGGCCTGCCGGTTACCGTGTACAGCGATAGGGGGACCACATTTGTGGGTGCGGACCGCGAGCTGCGAGGGCAGTTTGAGGCGGTCATGGCGTTGGGGGGACCAGTCGCGGCCTCCTTGAGTAACCAGGGCATCACCTGGAAGTTCATGCCTCCTTCAGCTCCGCATTTCGGCGGACTGTGGGAGGCAGGAGTGCGGTCCGTCAAACACCACTTGCGACGGGTAATAGGAGAGCAGGCACTGACCTATGAGGAGTTCGCCACTCTTCTAGCTCGCATTGAGGCCTGTCTCAACTCCAGGCCATTGTGTCCGTTGACGGACGACCCACAGGACTTGGAGGCCCTGACACCTGGGCACTTCCTGATTGGGCGCCCGCTGTTGTGTCCGCCTGAGCGATCCCTCGGGGACGTTCAGGTCGCGAGGATGAGTCGCTGGCAGCTGCTCCAGCATATGACGGAGCATCTTTGGGAGCGATGGTCTAGAGAATATCTAGCCCAGCTCCAGGTCCGGGGCAAGTGGCTCATCGCTTCTCGTCCGTTAGACATCGGCGACCTCGTGCTCTTGGCGGATAGCCGATTTCCTCCTACCCGGTGGCCTCTCGGCCGCATCACCGGCTTGCTGCCTGGCCCGGATGGGCACGTCCGCGTGGCGCAGGTGCGCACAGCGGACTCGACCCTGACCCGGCCACTGGTCAGGCTGGTGAGGCTCCCTGTGGATCCGAAAGGGGCTCATCCCAATCAACCTTCAACATGAAGGGGATCAACAGGCCCTCACGGCCGCCAGGCCGCGAGTGGGCCTTCCTGGTGGGGGTTTGTTCCACCACTGACTTCCGTCGCCGCGACGGAGGCGGGCGGTATGTTCCGTACAGCATCACGTGCTGTACGGATAGTCGGTGCGAGTCAACGCTGCAGGGCGGGCGGCCTGGTGCCCGGGGCGTTCTCGCTGGCGGCGGGGGACTCGGGTTCTCGCGAGCGAGCGCGCGGGACCCCCACTAGGTCCAACCGCGGCCGCTACACGGCGCGGCTCGCGATTCCGCTGCCCGCGGGCAAGATTCGACCGCCCGGATATATAACCAGGCGCGCGATGCCTGGTCCTTGCCTTGTCTTGTCTTCTGCCTGGCCAGTTTAGGTAGCAAGTAGTGCTACACGTTAGTGCATCGTGTTACTGGTGATTACCGACGCGCTTTCTAGGCTTCCTAGGGCGATCGGGTATTTCGTTTCAGATTCGAACCATCGCTCTATAGACTCTGCTGAGTTGAAGGTGGCGCCGACACACCCTGCTGGGTTGAGGCAAATGGTTCGAACCTCGTTTTTGTGATCTCGGGCTCACGGCGTTGCCGTGATCTTAGGAGCGACTCGACCGTCTCCTCGGAGCTTCGAGCTCCCTTATTGCCCAAGTGTCCGTAGGGGGCCTTGGCGGTTTTTGGAGCGGCTCGGTCGCAGTCCTAGAGCGGTCGCGCTCCTTCGTCCAAGTGTCCATTGGGAACTTGGCTTTCTCGCAGGAGCGACTTGGTCGTCCTGCGAGCCGGGAGCTCTCGGAGCTCCGTTTCCACGCGTCCTCGGGACCGTGGCTGGCTATTGGCCATTACGCCCGGAAGGGCAGGCCATCCGAAACGACGGAGGTCGTTTCGTTGCACGTCCTTGGCGTGCTTCGGGTGCCGCGCACCGTTGACGTCACGGACGTGTGTCCTGCGGGACTTGCGTAGGCGACGTTGTTTCGCTTATATATAGCTACGTTTAGGTTCTTCTGCGTCGTTCTTCTGCGTTATTCTCTTCTGCGTTACTACTGCGTTATTGCGTCCATTGCGTTTACACTGCGTGTCACTTTACGTCGGCACGTGCGCGTGCTTCTTCTCTCTTGTTCTCGCCGCCGTCCCTGGGCAGGGCCCAGTCGGCGCGCGACGTTGCCTGATCAGCAGGGTCTGTGGATCGCCTTGCGAGGCCCCGGCCTTTGATCAGGACGACCGGACGGTCACCGAGCGGACTCGAGCGAGCCTAGACGCAGGCGGACGTCGCTCTGCGATCCCGTACTTCCAGCCAGCTCTCCGGAGCTATCATATGTTCGGGCTAGTTCCGAACAGCGGGTGATATAAAGGAGAACATGAAAAGTTGCTAAAAAAAGGTTCGAGCGTGCGACGGCATATGGAGCAAAGTAAGTGT